GGTGTTCCTTTTCACACTTTAGCCTGGTTTCATTGATTCCCAAGTAATAGGAAATCAACTTAACAACAGCACCAATATCATACCTATCAATTAGCTCAAGAATCCTGTTGGCTGGTCCTGCTGTTTTTGTAACTCACATCAGTGTGAAAAGTTTACAATACTATAACTTCTCCAGAAAGCCAAAGTGATATTACCCTGAAAACAGGAGAGAAGGGTTTTTTTGATGGTGGTGTTGTTTTGTTTTCCCATGCAAATTTTACATCACTGGCACATGTACTTAATAAATTTTAGATTTTATCACTATTTTAATAAATTTACTTCAGTATTCACATTTTCTTTTGCATTCTTTTTATCCCATTTTCCCTATTCGGCTCTCCTAACATTCTGGTTTTTTATACTAAGGTTCTCAGGGGTATCTAGTACCTGAAGTGAGGATCTTACAAAACTCAATGTCTCTTTACTAGTGGAAAAATTTTTTTTTTGTAAATTTCTCAACAATGAGAGTGAGGTAGAGACTCAGAACAAAGTGTAAAAGCTGTACTGCAAAAAACATTTTTAAAAAGTAAAATGGTATTAGCTACTAGGATAAACAGGGATTTGGATAATAAATTATGCACCAAAAGGGGGGAGGTGGAGGGAAGGGAAAAAGTAGAATTGAAATGTGTTATGTACATGCACTGATTTCCCGCAGTGAATGTAATCATTATGTACTGCAAACATGTGCTAATAAAAGTAAAAATAAATACTATTATGATTGGGGATAGAAGGATAGAGAGGGACTCTTCAGAATCCCCTCTTTCCTATCACTGAGATCATCATGATGACTGAAGGATAAAAGATCAGATTCTTCTAGCTTAGAAGATTTATATAATCTTTTGAAGCAACAAATTGGAAGAAGATAAAAATTCTTTTTGTACAAAGAGACTCATTCTTTGACTTTCCAATGCAAGAGGAGAACTCGTCACTTTACTCTCAGTAGGAACAGGAGAAGACAGTGTTTTTCTCTCCATCCTCCCCCTTTAAGGGGATTGCTTAACTCTTAATTTGACTTTTGAGAGCAATTTCTGTTGTTCACACAAACCAAGTGATCACACGTCACTAGAAATGCTCACTTGCCCGGTGTGGGTGAGGCTTTGTGCTGAACAAAAGGAAGGCAGCTCTACATTTAACCACAGTCAAGCCCTTTGTGGGACAGCCAAGAATAGCATGCATGATTGCAATCCATAAATAATACACCTCCTGTCCTCTGCATTTTACCTATTCTTTAGGACAGAGGCAGCTACTCCTGAACAGGTCAATGTTATTACCGTATTCCTAACTCTAGGACCAAGTTTTGCAGATTTTCTTCACCTCTTCCTCTCCTTATATTTTCAGTGTAGCCATAAATAGTGAGTTTCTACTCTGATCGCTGAAGCCCTCAAGATAGGGCACTGAACCCACTAAATGATGAATACATGCCATATGGAGCTAACGGCAAGTTCCAATGTAAATTGTATCTGTATTGCTCTCTGCACTGCAGATAAAAAGTCCCTTGTGACATCTCTTTGTACTTAGCTGCATGTATCTGAAAACAGCTAAAGTCACTGAGAACAGTGAAACGTTTTATTTTATATAAAAAGACTAGGTATTAAAAAAAGACTAGATATTGTCCAGACTAGATATTAATGATGAATGACTGGTTTTAAAACCTTATTTGATGTTACACACAATTTATTTTATTTGCAATCTCATATTTTAACCAAATGTTTGAATATTTTGGCCAGCTTTATTAAAGGTGCAGTGTACTGCACAAGAATAGGATCAAAATACTCCACCGCGATGCCAATAATAAATATGCTGCCACTGTTCTAGTCCTATTATCCTCACTTTATGAATGAACAAACATTAACTAGTACCACTGGGGGCTACAAAACCCATGATCCATCCACCATTCTATGCTGTCTCTTGTCTTCTAGCTCTTTGGACCTAAAGCAAACACACATCACTGTTATGTCTCTTCTCTTTATTCACTAATAAAAAGATTTAACTAAATATTCACCAAGACCCCTTCCAGTTCTAAATGCTGTTTTTCTGTACTCACTTCTTTTCTTTACAAAATATAAATTTTTTATTTAAGTGCTCCTTTTCCTTTCAAAATCAAAAGCAATCCTCCTATGGGAAGATAGAGAGGTGAACTTGCCTTGCTTCAAAGACTGGAAATAATCAGAAACAACTGCTTTGCCTTTGGCCCATCCCACTGTTGGCTGATGGGCAGTCCTTTAGCAAGGCAAAAGGGATGTGAGGAAAAACCCAGCAATATCAGTAGAGGTCCTGTTTCTTAGTTAATGCGTGAGTGAGCATGTGAATTAACGTGTGAATTTCCCCTCTGTGTGGAAATATAAGCTGTTTAGGAATTCCAGGTAGCCACTTGTTATCTGCCCTATCTTCTGGGTATTTCTACCTAGATTCAACAAAAATACATTTGTGACATGGTGTGTTAATTTTCCTGTGAATTCCCTTAGTTCTCCTCTTTTTAATTTTTTTAAAAAAATTTGTAGAATGTTCTAGCAACCCACATACCAGAGGCCAGCCATGTTCTGGACATGGTTTGTAGGGTTCCAGTACAAAGACAGACAATATTCCCTTGTAGAGCCCTCTACAGGCTCCTAGAATCTGCACAGACGAACTATGGAAAGATCAAGGAGATAAGAATTAGTGTGTCCTTATAAAGTATGGGGCTGAACAGATTTGAGGAGAGATAGTAGGAGTGAGTCAGTCCCAAAGTGGTTACCGCCAAAGTTTCAAATGCAATGAGATGTTAGATGGCCTCTTTACCATAGTGAATAAGTACAGAGACTACTAGATGTCTTACCCTAGAAAGAACAGAGGGACTTTTATGGACAAGTAGACTCTGGAAAAGATTACAGTTTTCTTTTTAATTGGAAAGTGACTCTCACAAAAGCAGTGAAGTGATATAACCAGTATTGGATTTTTTAGAAAGAAATTCTCTTCTTGGGCTCCGATTGTTAACTTCAGAGAGCTTTCTGAAGAAAGTAATTTAATATTGGACTATAAATTAGACATTCCAGATAGCACAAGTGGCTAATGCTATCTCCTCCCATACATATTAACTTTGTTAATTTAATCAACGATTCTGTATGTGATCTCCTCAGAAGAGACAAAATGAAGGAAATCAGCAGTTACTGAGAATCTTCTGTGTTTCAAACACATTATTTTATTTTCTTTATCACTTTGCTTTTCCTCCTACTTGAAACCCATTAGTTTTGAATAATCATTAAGGAGTCACAGATTAAAAAAATGTGAACATTTCAGGGTCTGTGGTCATTTTTATTGAAGGGGACTCTTCAATGCAATAAGACTCAAATCACTCAGCAGCCCAGAGATCACAGCAATGCAGAAACCTCAGCGCTTCCTTAAGGAACTGTTGAAATAAATAATAGCACATGTAACCTCAGTAGAAAAAAAGTCAAGCATGATGGAAATAAAAAATAAGAGGCGTAGGGCACAGTGGCACAGGTCTATAATGCTTTGGGATGGCTGAGGTAGGAGGATGGCAAGTTCAAATTCCACTCGGGCAACTTAGAGAGACCTTGTCACAAAATTTAAATAAATAAATAAATAAATAAATAAATAAATAAATAAATAGGACTAGGGATGTAGCTCAGTGGTAGAGTAACTTGGGTTCGACCCCCGGAACCACACCAACAATAATAACAAAACAACAAAAAGAAGCTATTTCAGAATCTGTTTGACACATACTTCTGCAATGAAATCTTTGCTATTATTGAAATAATTTTTTTTACAATTGTGTCTATTTTTATTAATGGGTCCAAAATTTCTGGCTATATTATGATTATAGCATTACCAAATCCTGGCTTTTTCCTGATTAAATCATTTTATTGCATTTTAATTTCTGGTGCTTAGAGTGTGGTTTTAGTTCTTAATGTAGGAATAATAAAGTATACACAGAAAATATTTATAGCTATTACTAAAAAAAGTAAATATTTTTAATTTTAGGATGTAAGAAAAAGGATTCTCTCTTCTTTCATATTTCACTGTTTAGCATGATTTTCATCAATGTTTTTACAATTCTTGATTTGTAATAGAACTGTGATAAACTTGGTTTTCAATCACATTGCTATTAGAGCAGATGAACTGTGACATCTTTTAGGAATCTAGGAAATTGTGAAACAATTTTAGACTGTTAAAACAGTCACCTACAGCATACCACTAGTAGATGGAGCCTTTGGTCTCTCTTTAGGGTAGTAGAAAAAGTCTAGCTGGAGATGGTGAAGTGTATGTGTTTTTAAAAAAATATTCAAATTGAATAGTTTTAAATAGTTATAAGAGTATGAGCAAATACTGACTAGTTATAAAGCCACATAATGCTATAGTAACCAAGAATGAATGGTTTTTAAACCACCACTTGTTAGGGGCTACTCTCTCTTCTTTTTCTCCATCTCCTCCTTCTCCTTTCCTTTTACTTCTTCTCCTTCTCCTGCTTCTTCTTTGTACTGGGGATTAAACCTAGGCCTACATCTTTAACTCTTTTTTGTTTTGTTTTGTTTTGAGACAGGGTCTCATTATGTAGTTTAGGCTGACCTTGAACTCATTATGTAGCCCATCCTGACCTCAAATTCACAGATATCTTCCTGCCTCAGCCACCCAAGTACTGGGATCACACAGGTGTGCCACCACACCCTGCCTTAATTCTTTTTTTAATGTTGACATTAGATCTTGCTAAATTATCCAGCCTGGGCTCAAACTTGGATTCTCCTGCCTCAGCCTTCCAGAGTGCAGAGATTACAGGCATGTGGCACAACTTCAGATACTAAGAGCTCTTCTTACTTCCTTTAATGTTTAAATTAACTATACAGATTTAGTCAAGGTTAGGAAAATGGAATAAACCAAACAAAGGAGTCCCTCTGGAAATCTGTTTCAATAGAAAGATGCTGCCCTTTCCCTAGAAACTAATCAAATTTGAAACTCACAGTGTTTGGAATTTCCCAGTTGATCTCAGCTAATAGGAAAATGCCAGGGAGAGGAGGCAGGTGCACTGATGGCAAATATTCATATGGTCCTAGATGTTTGCCATTGTTGACGAACTTTGGAAAGATCAAATCAAGAGCCATTGTGTTTTCTTTGGTTGATTAATAAAATTCTCCCATCTAGAAAGAAAGGCTTTGACAGAGTAAACTCTCCTTCAAGGCAATCTAAGTTACCTTTTTCTTTCTACTTTTCATAAGCCCGGTGTTTTATCAGTTAGAACTGAGTAATTTTACATATAACATGTAAAAAATCAAAATAACTATGGCTTGTGTCAGTGATGGCAAACCTTTTAGAGCTTTCAGTGATAACAAACAGCCTGCTGTGGCACAGATGTGGTAGGTTTGCCACCACTGGCTTATGTGATCATTTCTGTTTCATATAAAAGAAGAGTAGTAAGATGAGCAGCTTGGGGTAAATGCAATGGCTCTACAAATCTGTGAGGTAACCAGACTTCCTCCAGCTCACTACTTTGCCATTGACATCCTCATTTTTTAACGTAGTTGCTACACCTTTATCCAACACATCCACATTCCATCAATAGGATGGAGTGACAGGGATGAGACACTCCCTCGCTTGAGGGAAATTTCCTGGAAGTTACACACAAGATTTAGACAAAATTTAGCCCCTTCTAGCTGGAAAAGAGGTGGGTAGGTCTTTAGCTGAGTGGAAGTGCGTCAGCTGGAAATTGGGGTTCTTTTTGCTAGAAAAGAAAAGGAGAATGGGTATCAAGAGACAACCAACAATATTTGCCCCTCAATTCCTCCAGACTTCCTTAGCTCTCCCACTGAAATCTCCTAATCCAGTGCCTTAATTTTAAAGATGTATAAGCAGAAGGGTGTTAAACCTAAATGGCTGCTTTTAGACTGCAGGTTGGGGTGTAGGAAAAAAATAAAATCCAAGTCTCCAAACTCTAAATAGAAGGAATATTGGCACTTAAAACTTTTGTATTAGAATATTTTGCAGAACTTCCAGAATATTCAGTTGTCTCATACCTTTAATTAAATGTGGCTATGACTATGAACAAGTACCTTTGATTAGTGATTGGTTTCTAATATTCTTTTACTTTTAAAATAAGAGCTTCACTGAGATATGAGTGAAATACCAAAGATACCAGTCATTTAAAGTGTACAGTTAAGTAACTTATAATATATTGTTATGCAACCATCATTATGTAATTTTAAAGCAGTTTTATCATTTCAAAAAGAAACTATGCCCATTAAGTCATTCCCGAAAAGCCTCTTCCCCAAATGTCTGATAACAGTAATCTATTTTTTGTCTCTGAATTTGTCTATCATGCGCATTACATAAAGAGTCATATAATATGTTGTCTCCCATCATCGGTTTCTTTCATTTAATATATGTTTCAAGGTTCAAATGTGTTGCAGTAAGAATCAATACATCATTTTTATTGCTGAATAATATTATATTGCCTGGATATACCATATTTTGTTTATCCATTCATCAGCCAATGGAATTTGGATTGTTTCTAGTTTTGGGCTTTTTTGAATAAAGCTGCTAAGAATACACATGCACAAATTTTGTGTGGACATAAGCTTTCATTTCCCCTGAGTATTTGCCTGAAGTGAGATTGCTGAGCCATATAATAACTATGGTTACCATATTGAGCAGCTGCCGAACTATTTTCCTAAGTTGTTCCTTTTTACAATCCCACCAGTAATATATGAAAGCTCCAATTTTGCTGCACCCTCAGCAACACTTAGTTTTGCTTATCTTTGATTTTAAGCTACTTCAGTGGGTAAAAAGTAGTTTACATTTCCATTTCTCTTATAACAAAATGATCATAAGCATCTTTTGTGCTTGTTGGTCATTTATGAATCTTCTTTGATGAAATGTCTATTGAAATTCTTTGCTAACTTTTAAATTGGATAACATGTGTATTGTTGAAATATAATGCTTTTTATATATTCTAAATACCTCTTATCAGATATATCATTTGCAAATATGTTCCACTGATGCTGATCTTTTTTCCCATTTTCTTGATGGTATCTTTAAAGTACAAAATTTTAAATTTTTTATGAAGTCCAGTTTATCTATTTTTTCTTTTTTGTTCATGTTTTTCCTATCATCTCTAAAAAACCACTTCCAAGCCCGAGATCCTGTTTTCCTTTAAGAGTTTCTAGTTTTAGTTACCATTTAGGTTGATGATCCATTTTCTGGTAATTTTTAGATGGATATTTGTGTACTCTTTAATCATCAGAAACATTAAAGAAATAATTGCAAATCATAGGTGTCTCTCTCTTAAAAGGATTAAAGCAAACATGGCATTTGTACTAGAAGAGACTGATAGCCAGGCATGGTGGTGTGATGCCTGTGATGCTAGCACTTTGGGGGGCCAAGGCAGAAGAATCACAAGTAGTAGTCTTTCCTAGGCAACTTAGTGACTTAAGAAGACCCTGTCTCAACATGTAAAATAAAAATTAAGAAGCCTGGGAATATAGCCCAATGTGAAGGCCCCGAGTCCAATCCAATCAGTATTGGGGAAAAAAGATTGAACCCTTGGGCTGGATTGCCACTGAAATTCATTGAGGTTATAAATAATATTCTTTAGAAAAAACAATTATTTATTTATTTATTTGGCACTGGGAATTGAACTCAGGACCTTGCACTTGCCAGGCAGGCGCTTGTGCCACTGAGCTAGATCCCCAGCCCAGCAATATGTTCTTTAATGTATTTAAATTTATCTTATGATCTTTTAGCCTGTGGTATAAACAATTAAGTTTGGAATTTATACATGTAGTATCTTCCATGTTCCTAACCATCACTCATCTGCCTTCACGTTCATCATGGCAATTGTGATTATATGCTTTCAATTTTTGGTCAATTAGAAAATGAAACCCAGACAAAAGTCATCACAGATAGCCCCAACTGTGGGAAAAAAACTCTCTTAAGGCAGCAAAAACTCTATTATCACAATGAAAATAAATGTAGAGACACTCTTATGAGCTTTTTTTTATTTCACACACATGTATATATGTGTTAGGGGGAGCTATTTCTTTAAATTACATAATTAAACCTGAAAGGTGTCTTAAGAGCTTATTTCTTCCAGCTTCACCTCCAGGTAGCCCACAATTATGCTCCTATTTCCCATTTTACAGATGAGGCAAATGAAACTTCTCTTTCTCTACTTTGTATCTTCACTTCTTCTGTTTGGGTTTTTTATCAGATGGGCCTACTCCAGGAGAGTCCCTCGTAGCAGAATATCCACCTTCGTAGCTACCAATTCCAGAGGAAAGAGGTTGTCTTTCCTAGGAAGTCTATCAATAGCCCCAAAATTCTATATACTATTCTGTCTGCTTGGCTTAACTTGGAATGTGTGTGTATCTTATATATGACTTCATATATGTATGTGTATATATATAGATGTTACATATATCACGTCATACATATACATGTCTCATATATGTCTCGTGTGTGTGTGTGTGTGTCCTACCTATACCCTTTTTTCCTCCACCCAGAGAAGCCACATACATTCTTAGGATGACAAAATTAGTAAATAGTGAAGGTGCAACAGTAACCCAGTTTTCTCAACTTCAGCTTCATTCTATGCTCTATGTGCTTTACCATCACTGGCTTGAGTCTTTAGAATTACAAGGAAATAATGGACTTTTTATATATCTTTTAGCTTCATTATAGATTGTGCGTTAGTCAGATTTGCAGTGCTATAAAAAATACCTGAGAAAATCAATGTATGCAGAGAAAAGATTTTCTTTGACTCACAGTTTTGAAGGTTTCAGTCTATAATCAGTTGGTCCTATTGCTTTTGGACAAGGCAGCACATTATGGCAGGACTTCTTGTCAGATCAAAACCACTCAGAGAGGAATGGTATTGCACAGGTCCTTTCAAGGGTGTGCGCTCAATGCTCTAAAGGCCTCCCACTAGTCTTCCCCTCCTAAAGGCTCCATATCTTTGAATACTGTCACACTAGGGACAAAGCCTTTAATACTTGGACCCTGGGAGAACAGTAAAGACCCAAACAATAGCAAACTGTTCTTTGACTAACTTATAAGATATCACATTTGACATAGTTTATATCTATAGCCTATATGTTTTTCTCTGAAGTAAGTTTAACTTTCTTAAGGTCTTCAACTTTGGCTTATGTATTTCTTAAATTCAACACTTTCCTGCACATAGTAGGCACTTAATAAATATTTGATTATTTGAGTCACCTGATTTGACACTGAAGCAGCGAGAAGAATCTTCCATATAAAATATGAATATAGGAAGGGAGCCAAACAGCCAGAATTGGAGGATGATAGGGAATATGCCTACCAGAACCATGAAATTCGTGATCCTAAAGGGATTCAAGCCCATAAAAAGTGTCAATGGGAACTCATCCTTCTTTTAATTACATAACATATGGAAGATATTCCTAGGGATAGAATGTTTTTTGAAAGAAGATGCTTTATTTAATCTCCAAACTGGAGAATGTCAATGGGCAGAATAGATCCAGAAATAGAACACATTAGATATGCAGGAATGGATTGATTTTAAGGAGAATTTTCTCTTTTTATCAATTAAGTATGATGTATAACCAGAAACTATAGATGAAAAAAGCTTTTAGAAAGTGAGAGAACATTTTAAAGAGTACATAATGATGACTTAAACAATATCTTCAATTTAAAACTCCAACTATACAATTTTAATCATTATTTTTATTGCTAAAATTAAAGGTTTTTTTTAAAAAGAATCCCTTCTAATCTTTATACCAATATAAATTTACTTGTATATTTCTTGTGCTTTCATGTATATACATATATATTTATACAAATATATATATATTACATTTTGAAAATCATAAAACACATAGAAAAATCAACTTTTAATTTACCTCTAAGAATATCTAGGAAGAGAGCTAAAATTTATGAGTAAAATGCAATGAAAGTAGGTTTTGTTTTTTAATTTTTTGATAATTATTTTAAGCAGTCAAAAGGGCAGTCATATGGGATGAGTGTGTTTTTCTTGAAGTGAGGTTTTTTTTTTGTCTGTGTCTGGAATTGAACACAGGGCCTTGAGCTTGCCAGGCAGGCTCTGTGCCACTGAGCTATATCCCTGGCCCCGAGTGTTTTTATTACAACCCTATTAAGTTTCTAGTAACCATTACATTCTTATAAGTTGCATATGAGTTCCAGGGACGTGTTCATCAGATTGTTGGGCTGTATTTAATAGATTGTAGATCATCTCTCTCAGACAAGGTAATTTCTCTTCTTGTTTTTTCTTTTGTGACAGGGTCTCACTATATAGTGCAGACCGTCTCCAAACTCTTGATCATCCTATGTAAGCCTCCCAAATACTGGGTTTACAGGCATGTGCCACCACACCTGGCTTAATTTAAATTTTTGCATGTGTTAATTTTGCGTTTTTAGCTATAGTAGTTGCCTTATAGCCATTATTTTAAAAGATGGGTCATGGTTTCTGACATGTTTGGTGAAGTATGAAAATAATGATAAAATAGTAATTTAAATACTACAACTTAAGTAATAAATAAATAAACAGGACTCCAGTCAAATATAGATATAATTCTATATGAGACTTTGCACAAGCAGCTACAAAGAAAGAAAGAAAAAAGACAAACAAGAAAGAAAAGACAGAAAAAGAAGTATAATAATATAAATTTGCAAGTTGGATCTTATTGAACGAGTGATTTGCTAATTTTACTCCCCCAATATATCATCATTAATACACTTTCTCAGTAAGAGTTTGTGTCATTAAATAAAGGATAGTCACCTTACTTCAAGTTTGGAGATGGTCTGCAGTATATAGTGAGACCCTGTCACAAAAGAAAAAACAAAAAGAGAAATTACCTTGTCTGAGAGAGATGATCTACAATCTATTAAATACAGCCCAACAATCTGATGAACACATCCCTGGAACTCATATGCAACTTTTAGGAATGTAATGGTTACTGGCAAACACTAACTAGTTTTTTTTAATTGATGAGAAATGTGAATTCCAGGAGGGCACGGAAATTTGTTTCTTTTGATGTACTGTTACCAATACCTAGCACAATGCCTTGAGTTTAACAATAATTAAATGTTTGTTCATAAGGGAATGGACTTTTCATTGACAATTTCAAAGAAAATCAAAACCACAAAGTTCTTATTCAGAGTTATACTACCTGTAGCAAAAGCAGACACAAATTTCCTGGTTGTCTTAAAGCTTAAAAAATTAGCTGAAGCTGGGGATATGGCTCAGTGACAGCGCCTGTCTGGCAAGTGTGAGAACCTGAGTTTGATTCCCCATACCAAAGAAAAGCTGAAAGTAAGATTTAATTAACAGAAAACAGAAAGAAATATTGGCAAAATTTTTTATGAAATAAAATTCTTGGCTACCACGAAAGCTAAGCTGTGTGGGGAGGTACACACCTGCAATCCCAGCACTCTTCAAATTCAAGCCCAGCCCACAAAATTCAGTATCTGAGACTCTGTCTCAAAAGAAAAATAAAAAAGGCTGGGGTTGTTGCTCAGTGCAAAGGCCCTGAGTTCAATTCTCAGGAGAGAGAGAGGGGCAGAGAAAGAGAAAGAGAGAGAGGAGAGAGGAAGAGAGGGAGAGAGGGAGAAAGAGAAGATATATGGTGTTAAACAACATTGTCACACATGTAGTGCAACAATTTCACGTTGCAATGGAGGACATCTATGAGGGAAAATGACAAGTTATGATATTTATCAGTGGCTGAATTTTATTAATCATTATTTTACAAACTGTGCTGCCAGCTGGAGAAGACGAATTTGAACAGAATAGCTTGGGACTAGCTTGAACAGTTGTGAACAAACTAACTCTGAATAGATTGGAAGTGTGCATTAAGAATAAAAGAAGTTGGACAGTCAACAGTGTGCTCCCTGTTCTTGTTGTTCAAGGAGTAAATATTTTAAAAATGACCACGTTATGAATTTTAAACATACCTATTTTAGCAGGTGTTAAAAAGAGGCACAAGTACAATAGTCTTTTACATTTAAGTGGGAAAAAGATGTTCTTATATGTTTTTGAAATGAGAAATAGGGCCAGGCACGGTGGTGCATGCCTGTCATCCCAGCACTCGGGAGGCTGAGGCAGGAGGATCGTTGTGAGTTCAAGGCCAGCCTGGGTTAAAAGTTAGTTCAAGATCAGTCTGAACTGCATAGCGAAAACCTGTCTCAAAAGCCAAAAAAAAAAAAAAAAAAAAAGAAAAGAGTATTAAGAGCACTTCTGAATTGGATTCAGCTATTTTCAGATCTTGTTTTTTTGGGGCTTTTTCAAAAGGTGTAGCTCAATACAATACAATTTGGAGTCTAAAATAGATTAAACTAAGTTCAGGGACAAAGTATCATTGTTTTTAATATTCAATATATCAGGATTTCTTTTGAAGACTGAACCATGGCACAAAGACCTATCCTTTGCTTACTTGAATACCTTTTCCAGAAGAGAGCAATAATGCATTATATTTAAAAATAGCATCCAAAAGTTGCAACAGAATGTGAAGAAATAGCCAGCAACTCTCATGAAAATTTCTTTGCTTAGCTGACTACAATCTGCTCACTGAAAGCCCAGTCACTAATTGGGTGATTTAAGAGAGACAAGAACGAACAGCTTTTCTGGTTCCCATATCATTGCCTTTGCCTCTCTTGTCCTGCCCAGAAGACTGCCAAACTATGCGTGAGTTTGTACTACCTCCTGCAAGCTGGGTTAATCTCTCAGCTCTGCTCACCCGGGACCAGCTTCCGCAACAGGGTTACTTTCCCTCCGCTCATGCCAAGTGCCCTGTTAAGTGGGGCTCTCCCCGATTTCAGGTTGCTGTGTTTTGATCTGCTTCAGATGCAAATGTTTTGATTTAACACCACATGCGAGGTATTTGGTGCCATCCAAGGGTGCAAATTACCACTGGTTTTTCTTTGCCATTCCTGTGTAGTCTTTAATTAAAGAAAATATTGAGTATATTACTTTGTTCATACTAAATATAGACATCCTAAGATTATTCAGAGGAAAATACTGGCTGGATGCTAATTCTGGTTACTTTGGACTTTTTCCAATTATTGAAAATGGAAGAAATGAATATAAGGTCAGTCTTCCCCTTATAATTCATCAAAGGCTTTTAACATTTCATAGAAACTGACCAAGAAGGCTTGGTCAAGAATCTCTACTGTTTTTTTACAGGAGATGGATTTACAGAATTTACCAAAGACTTTCTCAGAAAGGGCTCCCAATTCCAAATGAGACATTCACTGCAATAATCCTAGTAATGACCCACTTATTAGAATTTGCAATGTATAAATTATCTCTGATAGCTGCATTTACTTTGACATATGCAACATTTGTAGGCTGGGACCTTACCACCATGAAATTATCTTGAGTAATCTGCATGGGAGGAACTGAGAGGATATTACAGACTAAAAAGGGTACTCTAGAGTCGGCGGCTATTTGGTTGATATATAATGGGATGACTAGGCCAGTGTTTGTGGTTGTCATCCATTCTGATTAATGCCTATGCTATGTTGCCAAGTATCTACATTTTGAATATCATTACTGTCTAGGATATATTCCTAAAGGTTTCTAAGGCCTTAGTGGTCATTCACTATGTTGCTCCTGGCGGGACAACAGCCAACCCTGCTGAATCATCATCAATGGAGGGCATCTGTAGACTTATTTCTGCTTCTTGCTGAATTTCCAGGAAGTCAAGGATGCTCCTTTCCCTTTACCAAAAGGTCTAAGTTGGTTTTTCCTAGATGGTATGGAGCTAGAGAAAACTGAGGTTTTAGCATATAGTTGAGGTTCTGAGTTGTGCCTTCTCAGGTTCAAATGCAAAACTTTCTTACGACTAACTTCAAAGATTCATCTATAACTAACTGGGACAGAAACAATTTCACAAAGGAATACCTTGTGTTTAGTTGAAAGATGGTTTTCTAATGCAGTTTTTTCTTTTTGTAGTGAAAATTGCACCCAGTACCTCATGCTTGCCAGGCAGGTGCTGTGCCACTGAGCTATATCCCTGGCCCTAATAATGCAGTTTTTCTAAGCTTTCTAAGTCAACCAAAGAAATTGAGTCCTGTAATGAATGGGGTGGGGGAGATACCTTTTAAAAGAATAAGCATACGCTTTTATGTCTTTCATTAGTGTTATCACTTAAGGTCATATTGCAGGTGTAACTATCAATTTAAAAAATTCAAGTTTGCAAGAAACAGTTTCATTTTTCTGTTAGTACATCTAATTCTTTCTCTAGCTCTGACAAAGGGTGGCTAACAATCAATCAATTTGTTAGGGACTGCATCTCCCTAAGGAGAAAAGGGAGGAGGACGATTACATAACATAAGGATGTCAGGGGAAGGAGATGAAGCATTTGCTCTTTTATTTACCATACCAGCCCATCAGAGGAAGTTCTATTGGACTCTGCCGCTCTATAAAGTCTTGGCTAGTCTAGATGCATGGCCCAGTTTTTTCCTCTCTTAATGTGCTTACCACATCCTCAGGGCACTAACAAGAAAAATGTTGTATCTTTCAGCTCCTTCAGATAGACCCTGATATTTTGACTACCTCCCTCCAAAACTTGTACCAGAATAGGGTGAGTTCAGATCCTATAGCTGGGGATCTACTAGCATCAGGCTCTCATTCCATTCCATCCCACTTTATTTTTCCCCTTTCAGTTTAAATAATCTATTTCTCTTCTCTGTGAAAGCCAGTTTTATTATTGTCTACACTAGTGATATCTAATAGGAATATAGTGTAAACCACACATGTAACTTACATTTTTCTAGTAGCTATATTAAAAAAGAAAAGGCACAAGTGAAATTAATTTTGTTTTTATGTAACCTAGTAAATTGAAGATGTTACAATTTTAACATGTAATCAATATAAAATTATTAAGAAGATATACTTTTATATACTACAAGGAGAGATCAAAATATGTGGTGAATGTTCAAATTAAAATATTTATTACAGTAAAACACACATTTCCATCAATCTCCCTCAGAATATGTCCCATTGCTTCAAACACATTTATTTCATTGTTCTTGCCACTTTCTGATGCAGCTCTGAAAGTCTTCTCTTATGAATGTTTTTACAAGACGTGATCAAAAATATAGTGAATGCTGCTGCCATGTGCCATCAAATGGAAAGGGAACCTTATAAAAGCACTGCAGTGTGACCTCATCTGCCTTATTCACCAAATCTGGCACTGTGTGACTTCTGGCTCTTCCCCAAAGTGAAAATGACTGTGAAAGGCAAACGTTTTTGAATTGATTCAGAACATCGAAGTAGCCATGACAGCCTGACTAAAGATAATCATGACAAAGGACTTCCAGAACTGCTTTATAAAGTGGCAAAAATGATGGGATAACTGTGTTCAAAGTGTGTGTGTGTGTGTGTGGGGGGGGGGAGTATTTTGAAAGGGACTGATGGCAAGGTGTCTTTTATTGTAGTAAATTTTTGAAAATTAAATACTCTATATTTTCTACACTGCATAAGTCTTCAAACTCAGCATACATTATATACTTAAGGTATATCTCAATTTAGACTAGCCACATTTCAAATGTTCAATAGCCACATGTGGTTAAAGACTGTTGTACAGAACAATGCAGTTTGATAGTTGCATTCTATATCATTCTTTCCCAAAGGGAAAGGTTTTGAAACTCAAAAGCCAAGAAAAAAATCCTATTTTTCTACATTTTATTGTAGTCCTTTCCTGCAACATTGAACAAAATCTAACTAAATAAGGGTGGATGCTATGCTAAGGGTGTCTGACGCTGTGGTGGAGAACAAAAGCCATAGGATAAAAGGAAATACCTGGAAATGTACTACAAAAAGCAATAGTTAAAATTTTAAAAAGTATTAGTTTGCCACAGTAAGTTTTTAAGGTTGCAAAATTTTCTGTAGAATTGCTGGAACTAAATTTGTTGGCTACAGGTTTCAAACAATTTCATTAGCAGTTATAAATTGCACCAATATTGTTGTGTATAATATAACTGCTATGGTAACTGGAAAAAACAATGAAAAATCTTGCAGTGTTATTGTTGGGAGTAAATCTCATTACCAGGACTAAGTTTTACTAGTAGTTAAATTGCACAATAATACTTCTGAAAATTTTTATTGGGAGAACTATAAAACCCAAAGATTTGAATTTTATCAACAAGAAAGATAATAATTCACGACTATGGCTGCATTTCATAGACTAAAATCTCCCATTTAGGGATTAACTACTTCATTGAGAAGAATTTCTCTTTTTCCAAATTGTCATGGCAGAGAAAACTTAAAAGTTTTTGGATGGCATTTTCCACCTGTCTCACTGTATCCTATCTTCATTTTAAGCTTGATATTTAAACACAAAATTGAAATTATTTTAAGTGTTGAATTTTCTGATAAAGTAAAAATATCTATAAAAATTTTCAGTCAACAAGCACAGACAAAAGATAGGTTACTACTTATTATATGCAGAGTAAGTCTGGGACAGAAGGAAATGATAAATCGAGACCTGAGTAAGTAGGGAATTTAGAAATCTGAACAGAAACATCTGAAAAAGAAAATCTGAACAGAAACAAAAACAGGCAGGCCTGGAAGGAGAAGAGTCAGTAGGAGTTAGATGCTGATAGGTAGGAGAAATGGAACCTTCAGGAAAAAGTAGCTTCTAGCATGCCAAAAGATTCTAGCTAGCATATGACATGAAGAATAGTCACAAGAATTGAAAGTGAATTCTTAGTAATTATTATAAAATCCTAAGTTCAACTAAATTCTTGGTGTTCCACTCTTAGTACCAAATTATGGGAGAGGAATAATGGTAAGTATAGTGTTCGAGAATCTTCGTCCTTCAGATAGTGATGTTTGGTACCAGCAAAGTGTTGCCCAAATATTCCTGAAGGTCCTTTTTTTTTCCTTGCCTGTTTTGTTTGCTATTAAACATAATAGCATATACTATTAATTACCACTTGGCTACTTACTGTGTGGCAGGTATGTGAGGTTAATAGAACTTTTTCAACATTCCATCCTATTCTGGCTTTCTAGAATAGGAAGCTGAATCTCAGGTTAAGTAATTCGTCTTACTTTCTTGCATACATGCTGAGCATATTGCTTCTGGAAACAGTACAGGGACTGTAACTCATGTATTATTAATAATGTTTGATATGATCATTATATAGATGGTTCCCAATTATCTCCTAAGCAGACCAAATGATCTCAAAATATTTTATATATTCTTTGATAAATTTAGCTAGCAGATAGATTATTTTTAAAAGTGCTATGGGGGAAAGGCTGCTCTGTGTGGAGGTTCCAAGAGACAGCCTATGTACTTGAGCTCAGCAGTAGAATAATGTCAAGGTTTGTTCTCGATTTCTTCACTTATTCAGTGAACAATTCTCACTTTGGTCTCTTAGCTACTTTGGTGACTAGAATGAAAAGATAGAGTTTATATCCAACAAAATATTTCCCTTTTAAAAAAAGGTTGTTTTGTAAGAAACTATCAGTCTCTTGAAATTTCCTACAACTTGAGGGTTATTTAAAATTCATTGTTTTTAGATAATTTCTTTACAACTTCTGCCTCCACCTGCATTAAAAGAAACCAGAGTGACCACAGGGAAAGTTTGAGTTATGAAGGGCAATAATAAACATGATGCAAAAACCTTTAAATTTTCATGTGGATTGTTTCTGAGGTACAACACGGATGAACATAGTTTAGGACCATTTCTATAAATTAGCCATTTAAAGTACATTTAATCTATTAATGATGCAGAATATATTACGGTTTGAGAGCATAATGGCTATAGGTTGCAGTGACTAAACCATTCAGGAAGGACATCCAAGAGTGCTCATGATGTACACAATGTAAGAATCCATATAACAATTATGTGGTTATTTTATTAGCATTTTGAATTAAAACTATAGCAAAATAAGTGACAACTATGTTTTTCTCTATAAATGAACCTTGTGTTTGTTTTCTTTCAATTTTATTATACTGAACATGAAAAAGTACAAAGAATGGAAACACAAAAAACCATATACAGCTTCATAAATACTCAACAGAATATATTTTCTATTCCAACAGATATGAATTAAGTCATACTGTAGAACTTAAAACAAATACTAGTTTCACATTTTATTAAATGCTCTGATAAACTCTGATCGTATTATTAGATCACTTTATTGAAAGTGGAAACAGAACTGGATATTGAATTTTAGTTTTCTACCTTTATCCTTATTTCTCCTGAATCATTATCTGTCTGTCACTCTTTCGCCCCAAATACTACAGGTGTTGTCAACTCTCACCCATCACTAAGTTCCTTTTCTCTCAAAGAATATTCCCAATGAATAAGACACCAATACAGCTCAAACTACTTTGTCTACGCACCTTGCTGTCCGATGTCAGCAGTGTATTTTGTTGTCATGGGTTAGCTTCCTTCTCTTTCCCACAACTATTTGGACATTGCTTGCTGGGCGCTCCTACTTCTCTATTTATTCTCAGTCTATTTTTCACTTTATCCAGCTTACTTTTCAAATATTAGGATTTCTCCAATATTTCATTCTTCGCCTTTTTCTGCGCCAGAGGTCTGTGAACCACCTACAATGGAAAGCAAATTTTTGTTTTGTGGTAGGGCATTTTCTGCCTTTGAGGGAATGTCCATGGCTTTCATTTTCTCTCTTAACAAGGCCACGTACCCTTGCTCTCACGTTCTTTAGGTTATTTCATCCTCTCCTTTGCCTTTAACGTGTTTTTTTTTTTTTTTTTTTTTTTTTACCAGCCACTCCCAAATCCAGCTACAGTTCAACCCAAAAGATAAAAAGACAACGACAGGAGAGACCAGTGTACAGAGACACGTCGAGGAAAACTGCTGTGAACATTTTATAACCAGCGCGGTCTTACTGAAGGTCCTCAAGGACCAGGTGACTGAGTTTTGGGCTGGGGGACCCGGCAAGATCATTACTTTGCCAGGGGGGGTAAAAAACCAGGAACAATTCGTCAAAGAAAAGGCGGTGTGTGTTAAAAACCTGGTTGTTAGTGGTGGCGGAGTAGGCGCGCCCAGGTTCTAGGCGAGGATAAGAGAGAACAGGAGAGATAACCACAGCAGTCCCGGCCCAAAGCTGCCGCAACGTGAGACCCTAGCTCTGCTGCCCGCGCCAGGAGCCAGAAACCCGGTCTGGCACCGGCGGCGCCTTTGATCGACAGCCAGTTTCGGCAATCACCTTCCAGTTCACTATAAACACTCCTTACTCCTCCCGCCCATCGCTTCCCTTTCTCAGCCAATCAGAAGAATGGGCGGGATCCTCCTCAGCGGCTCCCAGTTTTTTTTGAGAAGGGTAAACCTTGTGCTGCGTTCCGCGGAGGGAAAAACGCCCCGCGAACCAGGGGGTGGAGCCCTTGTGATGGGCATGCAGATCTGCTAATGAAATGCTCCAGCTGCTCGAAGGCCGGGCCGCCGAGGTGGGTGGGGCGCGCGGGGGCCCGGCCAATGGCGGCGGGGTGGACGGAGGTTGAGCCGCCGTGGGTAGGGTTAGTGTGAGAGGTGCGGCGGGGGAGGTAATGATGGTGGTGGAGGAGGAAGGGGGGGGGGGGGGCGGTGGGCTCTGAGCCGCGGCTCCGGCAGGTTCGCGCGGGTGGGGGACGGTCGCTGGACTGTCCGTCAGGGAGGGGGCGGGCGGAGGGGCGCCGTCGGCCTGCGGGCTGGAGACCCCGGCTTCCCCAGCGCCGCGGCTGGCGTGGCTGTTCCATGTGGCTCCGGCGGGGATGGAGGACTCGGTGGCGGCGGCGGCGGCTGCTGCTGCGGCGGCGACGGAGAAGCGGCTCTGAGGAGGGCACCGGGCCAGACTCAGCCCTGCAGCGGGATTAGAGGTGTGAGGAGGAGGCGGGAGTGGGCGAGCGGCGGGGCCGGGGCGCCGGGACCGGGCTGGGCTCTTCTGGCGACGCCTGGGTGACAGGGACCGTGGTGGGCCACTGCCTGCCTGTGCTGGCGGCCAGGGACCCGGGCTCCGTGTGTGAGGAGACGGGGCTCTGGCAGGCTGTTCCCTGAGGATGAGGCAGGGAGGTGCCGCACCCGCAGCGTCCACTTGCTCGGCTGGTCACTGCTTTTACGCCCAGGCAGGAGTTTCCATTTCCCTCTGGTTGGCAGCTAAGGTGAAGAGGGAGCCCAGGTGGCCTGGAGCCGGGACATTGCCCTCCCAGTGCCTTCGGATTTCCCTCCACTCCGCCTTGCCCATCCATTTCCCTCTAACTGAGCAGCAGCATTCCTCCTCACTCCCTGGTTCGTTCTAAGGGTATATTCCAGGGCTCGAGGCTATTAATTATGGGCTGAAAAACAAAGTTTATTTAAAAATACTGTGCTCCTCTTTCTGACTGGCAGTGGACATTAAGCAGCATCCCCAGACTTTCCCGCTCTGCTTGCTTTTCCCTGACGCTAGGAATGTAAGGTAGGGCCCTACTTGCGCCTCTCATCGATTGCTGTTGATGCTGGTTACCTGGTGTGCTGCTCCCTGTCTTCGGTGTGAATTGCAATTTCTTCCTTGGTACCTTGCATCCTTGGTGTTACTGGCTTTTGAGGTCTGTGTTTTGTTTCATTGTTTGAAAAACATGCAGAGAACTGGGATTGTCTGTTGCAGCGTTATCTAACATGGGTGGTTAGTCACTTTTCATGCTTGTCTCATATTCTTTCTCGTTTTGTCTTTGTTTTCCTTTTCAGTGCTCCACAGTACGAGTCATATACCCGCGAGGTGGAATGGTGATGTCCCCGTGAGGGAACCTCCTCTTACTCATCCTGTCATGTGTATCATACTGTTCTTGACTGGGCCATTCATCTAAGAGGGGATTTACCCTGTGAAACAGGGAGAAGACTTATGAACATCATTTCAAGTTGTAACTGAGTTGTTGTGAAGTACAGACATACATGCAAAGCTCCTTTGCTTTGGATCCTCTGCTTTATTAAAGTTGCTGTGTGCTAACCCAGAACTGTTCCAGTTTATTCATCCATCATCATGGCTTCAGTTTGGAAGAGACTGCAGCGTGTGGGAAAACATGCATCCAAGTTTCAGTTTGTCGCCTCCTACCAGGAGCTGATGGTTGAGTGTACAAAGAAATGGTAAGATTTGCCTCAGAGTAGAGTTTGCTGTGCTGTGGCCTCAACTCACTGTGGCCTAAACTATGAGTCTAAATAGCAGATTTACCTTTGTAGTGCAGAAGTGTGTAGAAGATGGGCGGGGTGAGATTACTCTAACAAGTACTGTGGTGTGCACTGTTGCTGTTGTACTGTCCCTGTGGATTTTAATTACTGCACTTCAGAAGGGCTCAGAGGACTAACAGAGCACACTAAGTACACTTGGTTTGGTCTTGAGATCATTTTTCGTTGAAAGTTAGAATAACTTTGATTTTTATAATTTTCTTGAAAAAGTTTTTTTGTGGTGTTAGGGATCAAACTCAGGGCCTCACAAATGCTAGGGAAGAGCTCTATTACCGAGCTATATCTTCAGCTCAAATTTTTTTATAATTTTAAAAACATAAAGAATGGCTATTGAGATAGTATAACCATATGCATGTTTTAATATAAAATGAATGTTTTAATACATTTTTAATATAGAATTCTGTATGCTATAGATTCGTGATGATAATGTGTTTTATTTTGTTCTTGTTTTTATATTTTTCTTTACTTAAGATAGACTTTTTCATTATTTGAATAATGGAATGCCAGTGCTCATAACCTTAGATACTCTTTTGTTAAATGCATAAGCAACTGTATTTTCTTTTAATTGTCTAATGAGATATGTTTCTTGGCTGGATTTAAGGAAGCAATTAGTAGTGGTGGTCTGTGATTTACTTCTTTCCACTTGAGCAAAATAAATTTAGGGCTTTCTTTTCACTGCTCTGAATGATAGCCAACAAGAATTCTTATTTAGTGAGTGAAAAAGTTAATCTTAAGCAAATGGTCTTTTGGGTTTTTGTTTATTGCAGTAATTAAGCAGTATTAATACAAAAGAAGTTCATTGTCTACAAGGATTATAATCTCATATCTGTAATGACATTTTTTTATTAGATGAAGAAAATAGCTTGGTCCATTCTAGAACTCCCGTAGCATATTCTAATATTTGTCTGGAAATTAGTGTCTGAATGCTTTTGTTTTGAACTTGTTAGGAATGTTTTAAAATCAGTTCAAGAAATGCATGCACTGATTACCTACTTTGTACTGTGTGCTATTGATTTAGAGTCAAATATGATAGTCCTTACCCTCAAAGAGCTTATAGTCCAGGGTAAGGACAGTCATGAAATAAAATTTCTGCGGTTAAGTGTAGTAATCTAAATACGTATAATGTAGTGATTCTGATGTGTCCATCCATAGGTATCCTTGGGAGGTTAGTTCTGTAATTCAGTTTCCATGGACAAAAAAGTAATAATGGTATTACTTCATGGGATGGTTACTTTGAAGATTAAATGAATTAATATATACAATAGTATATATTAATATAACATATGCTTGTGATAGTATTAGGGATATAGTAAATGTCCAGTAAATGCCATTATTATATTCAGAGTTGGCAAAGGGGATGATAATCAAACATCAATAGTAAGAGTATGGGGTAGGGTGGTGAGAGGCTTCCTGGGATCTGAGCTGGGTTTTAAAGATTTATGGTAGTTGTCAGGAATCTAAAGAGGAGGGAGTGAAGGACATTCTAGACTGAAGTAGTGACTTTTGTGAAAGGAAGCATTAAATATCATGAGGTTTGTTGGAAATGTAGTATAGCTTAATATTGATGGGATTACAGTGTAGGGTAAGGGGGCTGCAGTGGAATATAAGGCTTGAGAGGCAGGCAAGACTCCGATCATAGATGGCTTGGGTTTTATTCTCTGGGTGACGGATTTAGTGAAAAGTTTTGAGCAAAAGAGACTCCAGGGTTGCTAGTGGAAAATCACCATGGCAGCGGTGTGGAGAAAGGATCACAGTGGAAAGGGTGACTGGAGGCATTGATGTTAGGGTGGTTGTTGGCAATAGGTAAGGTGGGAAAGTGGCTTGGGCAAAGCAGTGGCAGGGGCCATAGCAAGAACTGACTGAAAGAACAGTTAGAAAAAATGGATTGGACTTAATGGTCATTTCAATTGAGGATCTAGGGCACATGGGAATAGGGAGAAGGAAGCCTAGCTTGGTATCCAAGTTTCTGCTTTGGAAGGCTGGGTGCACTACTAAGCAAGACAGGAAATAAATGAAGAGTTTCCTTATTAAAGTAGTTCTTAACTTGGTAATATCCTGAGAGTGTCATCTTCTACGTAAATTTGAATCTCTTTTCTTAAAGGGAATAGAACACATAAGGTTATTCCTCAGCTGCAAAGTCAGTTTATTTGCCACAGTTTGCAGCGTCTCTGGACTTCCCCCCCACCCGAATAATATTTAAGTTATTATTAATTTGTCTCAAAGTGAAAGGAACAATGAATATCTAACTTGATGGTAGTTGAATAATGACTTGATTACCTTTAGGGCTGACCCTGACAGTATACCCATTAAGTTAGATTTTATAATAAGATCTGGATTTAATGCTAGAAGCATTTGAATGTTCTATAATTTTCATAAATATAGTTCTAAATACTTAAAATTTTTTTAAAAAATTTCATTTGGAAATATAGCTTAAAGCGTACAAGGTGATAGTGCCTAAAGAATAACATGCCTGTTTGACATACTGGAATTTTATTTGTGAGAGGATCCTTAAGTAGAGCTGTACAATATTTTCATTATATAAAAATTGGCAGTAATGACTTTTAGTTAATATTCTTACTTTGTTTAGGATGCTTGTGATAGATACAGTTAGGCCCAGTTTTGATACTTACGTCCTATTATGGATTTAAAAATCTTTTTCATTTCTTATTTTGATTTTTTTTTTTTTTTTTTGAGACAGTCTTGTGTGTGTAGTTGAGGTTAGCCTTGAACTCACTATGTAACCCAGGCTGGCTTCAAACTCTCAGTAATCCTTTTGCTTCAGCCCTCTTGAGTTCTGGGATTATAGGGGTGTATACCACCATGCCTAGCTTTTGATCTTAAATTATTGTGTGTGTGTGTGTGCTTGATTAGAACCTATATAAAGAATATGAAAATAAAAATAGACTTGAATACATAGTAAGAATGTTTCTATTAGAAACTTTTATATTTTAGAGATTACTTTGGAGGTATGGGAAAATAAAAGGAAAAGGAAATTTAGAGATTATGATTGAAAAATAGAAAAGAGATTAGTATAACATGAAGATGTTATAAGTATTGAGAAGATAAGAAAATAGAATTATGTTGGAATTATTCCTTTGGAGGTAAGGTGTGTAAGTGCTGTTGTCTTTTAGAGCCTTGTTATTTAAAAGTTTTTTTCTGACAGCTAGGACCATTTGTAACATCTGGGTACTAAATCGGCATTTTTGGGCTGGGGCTATAGCTCAGTGGTGCAAGCCACCTGCCTGGCAAGCTCAAGGTCCTGAGTTCGATTCCTGGTACAAA